GCTACTCCAGTTTGCATGGTTCCACCGCTTCACTGATTGAAAAACCATCCAATTTCTTCCAGTTATCTCACTTGCTTGGTTTTCGTAGGCATCTAAGCGTGCACACACACACACACACACACACACACACATACACACATATATATATAACCTTAGATGACAAATATGATTGAATAACTTTGCTAAAAACAAATACAAAGCTAGAAACAACAAAGGCTCTTTTAAAAAATTGTCGATATAGGAGGAGCAAAGATCCTCACAGTGCAGCAGGGAGCTGAAGAATTACAAACGAGATCTGTTTGCTCTGCCTCCATTTTAATCACAATAGAAAGAAGTCAAATGACTACATGCGAATGTTGCTGTTGTTGTTTTTATTGGATTTTGTCTACATGCCAAAATAATTACTCTGCCTAAGGCAGAGTTCTAAAGCCAAGCAGGTTTCCAGGGGTGTCTGTCAGGCCTTTATTGCTTCATTGTCTGAATTCATCTCCTTAGCCTATGTCATTGGCAGCAAACACCAGTAATTCAATCTGCTTTCCTTGCGCATATTTTAGAGTTAAAGACAAAGTGTGAACCTGATTATCTTGTGTTCTATTTCTATGACTCCTGGACTCCTTACTCAAGTTCTGGTTTTGAGTCGACTCCCTGGTGTTTTCCAGGAGGGAGCTCCATTGATCCCCTTCACCTGTTTCTCTTCATGGACATCTTTGTTGTGGTATCCTGACTCTACAGAAATTATGAAACACCCCTCCACTTTCTTCCTCATGATGAGTTAAGGGGGTTTCCTCTGCGGTGCATGGACAAGGTTGGCATAGAGGGGTATCTTCCATGTGTCAGTATCCATGGTAACATTCTAGGCAAGAAGAAAGCATGCTAATACCACTCACTCACCCCAGGAATCTTCAGGATTGTTACCAAGAAGAGCAACAAAAAACGTCAATCCCCACACAGCAAAAATAAATCCCTTTGTATTGTTAAATGCCCTTTTGACCATCTCCCTTTACCCACTTTCTTTTCACAAAGCAGCCTCTCATTTTGTGGTCTATACTCTTTACTCAAGCAGCTACCCCATGCGATTATATTCTTCTGGCTTCACGCAGTTTATGTCTTTACATTTTCACTGAGAATAGATAACAGACAAGGGAGGAATGAATTCTGGGGAGAATAGAATTTCTCGATATATTTTAATTCTACCAGTGTTTTCTCCCTTCATTCAAAATGAATCCACCAAGTCTGTTTCCTACAGGACAGGCTTACCCAGAAACAGCCACTCCTCCCCCACTGACGTCTCCCCCACCCCCAACAATATAATTGATGATTGCTAGGACTGCACGATTTTAAAATAAGGATTCTTGGCAGATCTGAGGAGACAAACATTCTGTCGTTGGTGATATAGGTTCAGGGCTTTCTGAAGCATCTCGTCCCCATGAAAGTCAGTCCTTGCATACTTACTTCTGTGTGCAGTAAAGGGTTAAAAAACAGAGCTGGAAAGACCACGCATGTGTTAATCCGTGCTGCAGCAGCAGGCATCACTTCCACTTTGACCTCACAGTTAATCTGCGT